TATCCTCTAATCAGCTTCATGTTGCGCTACCAAGTCATGACTGCATTCTTCGCCAAGCCCTTCCCCAGCAGACTGCATGTCATAGCGTTCAACGCAGTCGTTGTCATTGTTTGTGTTCTTTTTGCGGTGTTTCTACCAAAGATCGGAACTATCATCAGGTAAAATCAGTATACTTGCAGATTATGCATAGGCCTACTTTTTATGCTAAATATTTTTAATAGAATACCATTTATGTTTGGAGTTTTCCGTCATCAGCCTCTATAATTATTAAGATATGATACTGTTAGGTACATTGACTTGCATGGTTTCTACTAGCACTGTTCAGAAATATCTAGTACATAATATAACAAACATAAATAAATTTGAATATCTCTGTAAGGGCACTGATGCTAAGTAAGTTCACTGTGTTCTAAAGAAGGTTAGTAATAACTAATTTTTCAGTTGGTTCACATACCAAGTAGTTGAACCTTGAAAAGGACCATCTGTAGGAAAAGGATATATGTTATGAAATCCAACTGCAGTAGAACCCTGCAAATCTGTTACCTACTGGACCATACAGAGAGAAGGTCGGTTTATCCGAGTAGCATATTAAATGGCCAAATAAATTGCTTAACTGACATTCATTGATCGTGGAAGACAATAATAATTTTCTCATAACCGTGGGAGACGTTCAATATTTAGCCACGATAGCAAAGGATGATAATTAATGCGAGAGACGGTAACAATCGTCACTCGTCCATTGCAAATAGCCATGATATTACCATGATAACATTGTCACGGAAATGGCACGGTTGGATTTACTGAAGAGTGGGACTGGCCGAGGTCAGAGATTAGCGGAGTTCTACTGTACCCCAAGAAGAAACTTAGGTACCTCCAGTTGGTAGGCTGTTTGTAATATAGGTTTACGGGACTAATACCTGGAGATAGGTACATTAGTTCCCTCTTGTTTGGTCATCTCTGGCCTAAACTTTAAAAAGTTTGACTCAACAGAAGATATTAATTGAAACGTATCACCACCAGACATTACATGTGCATTGGTACTTTTAGCGTGTGTAGGCCTAAAGTAGTTCAACCTTCAAACAGTGCTAGAAGAATCAGTTTTTAAATAGTTGTTAGCAAGGATATAGATGAATATAACATGATTGTTAGTGCATGAAAATTAAACGTTATTTGTTTGTTAACTGTCTGAGCAAGGTAAATTTTTTTCAATTTGTAAATTTTTTAAATCTTTATCTATATTTTGTATTACAGTTTTAAACAAATACAATGGAAAAGTGATATGTGATGTATAAAACAGTTTACTATGGATTGGTTTATCTATTAATAGAACCAGACATTCCATTCCCAATGAAAGTTATACCAAAAACTAACCAGCACAAGTAGAATTCTCATCTCATTGTAAATTTTGAAGCTCGTTTTCGTGTCTAGTTCATCAACGGTGAGACTGATCACTAGTGTCGACGACATTTTGTTTCTATTATTTTAGGGTTAATTTCATGATTTGTACTTTACTGTTTGGTTATATAACTAGGGGATGAGTTAATCATTATTATTAGATCGTTTTATTTGTTTAAACGAGGTTTTAAATGACTGAAATAACAATAAGAAAATTTTTACCAAAACACAACCTCTAAAATGCATTGTACAGAACTAAAAAAAAAAAAAAAAAAAAAATGGCTTCAGCTGTTCTATAAGGATGAGAAATCTACCAAGGGAGTATGTTTATCCATGGTTGTAGTCAGTTTTAGAATCAAAAGGAACACAGTTTATGAAACACTAACAGAGTGCTGAAGTAAATTGCTGATTTCTGTCAAATCCACCCTAGGGTCGTCCCTAGGGTTGGCGGCGCCCGGAGCAAACATGGTCTTGGCGCCCCCTCCCCCCCCAGCAGTAATAGTCAGTCGCATTTGCATATTTTAGTACTATGTTATTACAAATAGTTGCTGGGCGGCGCCCCCTCAGCCACGGAGCCTGGGGCAGCTTGCCCCCCCCCTTCGAACGGCCCTGAATCCACCTACATTCATACCAGTGGTATAACTATCCCACACCTAACCATAGAAAACTGATAAGTCAGTTAACAGAACTAAAGTAACACAGTAAATCTACAAGTGAATTGATTGAATAGAGTCTGAAGGAGTTTGATTGGTTTAAGGTAAACCCAAACTTATACCTTCGTCTGACTCATGGCTTGTACTGGCTTCATGATGTTGAAATACTGAAAAACTCACTGATCTTACATTGCAGATTCACAGGAGCACTAAGTGGGTTCTTCCATGTTTTTACGTTGCCGTGCCTGTTGCGACTGGCTGGACAGAAGCAGGCTGGCAAACTATCTTGTTTCTCCCTCTTCCTGAACCTCGCCATCCCACTGGCGGGAGGCATCAACCTTATCGCTCAGTTCTTTGTATCTGACAGCTGAAAATTGTGCGTTTTCTTGCTTGTATTATATTAAAATTGTATATAAGTTACATATGTACAGTTGAGGTACATTGACAAAAAAGCGAGTTGAATTTTGTCACTAAATATGTGTCAGTTTAGAATGTTGAAGCTAATGTAACATAAAATTTAACTGTGACTACTTATATGTAAAGTGGAATTTAAAAAAAAAACTTTGTATGATTGATTAGACGAATAGAACTTTTTAGAATATGCCTGTTAAAAGGCAAGAATTAGAATAGCTGAAAAACTTTTACTAATTTGTATTAAAGTAATATAAAGTTTTGATAATCTAATCGTTATTGATGAAATCATGTGCAAATATTTTAACTGAACTCCCATTGACACAACCTCCCAAAACAAAACAAAAACAACAAAACAAAACCTCCCATTGACAAGGAGGCAGCCTTACTTGTTAAATGGTGGTGAAATCATGACATAAATGTGTTATTTCATTTTCAAGAGCAGTTAGCCTCCGGATTACGTTTGAATATTTATAATGGTTTAAATACCTGCATTCAGTAATCCAAAATGTTGCTTGTGGCAACTATAGTTTCAATTCACAGGGAATCATCTTCGGGGCGTACAAGGCGTCGTTATTCATCTCCGTATATGAAGGTTGTCATTTAATAAATAAGTACATAGAACACAAAACACACAACAAAAACGCACATTGATTGACGGACATTTAACATTAAAAACTCTGTGAGGAGGAGAGAAGGAATGAATGCGAGCCGGCAGTGATAAGGAGACAATGGCTGACGTCATCCATGTTGACCGCTGACCACCAGTTCGAGCTACAACTTCTACCCTGTCGCGTCACCTGTCTCGTGTCTCCGAGTACTCGGTATTTTTAATGTTAAATGTCCGTCAATCAATGTGCGTTTTCGTTGTGTGTTTCGTGTTCTACGTGCTTATTTATTAAGATGACCTTCGTATACGGAGATGAATAACGACGCCTTGTACGGCCTGAAGATGATTCCCTGTGAATTGAAACTATAGTTGCTGCAAGCAACATTTTGGATTACTGAATGCAGGTATTTAAACCATTAATAACATAAATGTGTTATAATATATTTGTACAACTCAATATATTATATTATATTACAGCTGGTACTGTACCAGATGGCAAATTTGGGATCAAGCTGGTCTAAAGGTAGAGCGCAGGATTTCAGTCCCTGAGGCCCCGGGTTCAAATCATGCCATGTCACCAACGGATTTTATCGAAGTGTTAATGCCGTAACCTCTAGGTCTAGCCTGAAGTAATATAAAACACAATTCTTGGCCCGTGCCTAGCGTCTTAGGGGAAAAAAGAAGAGTGCAGGGCTACAGTCAACACACACATCAAACAGGGTCACAACTCCCACCAATCAACAGTTGTTTTAGCCACGTGGTAATACCGCAACCTAGGCCTAGCCTGAAGTAATCTGTAAAACGTTTCTGGACAAGAGCCTAGTAAACCATAGAGTTTATTTATAGCCAATGGTTCTATTTCTCACAATCAAAATAAATATTAAGAGAAAAGTTTAGGTGATATATGTACCAATTAAAACAATGTTCAGCCAAATTACATGTATATTTGCACTAAATTAGAAAAATAATTCCCTAGTCAAAAATTTATTCCACTTATCAGTAAAGGAAAGGTAACTTATATATTTATAAATGAATTAGTTAACTGTGATATACTGTAGTGTAAAATGTACAAAACTATTGAGAAATTGAAAGTGAGACTTTCAATAGCTTATTAGTTTAAGGATGTGTGATAGATTTATATAAATTAATTTAACTGTTGTATTAAGTAGAAAAGTAGATTTTAAGATAAGTTCCAAATAAAATTTGACAGTAATATCAAGATTCACTGTTTTATTTATCCAATATAAGTCACGCTTTTAACTACAAGGCTTTTGGTTTAAAATTGTTTGTTAGAGCAGTAGACCTTTAGGTTTGGTTTTATCATTGACCAAGTGGTATAAGGCATCTCCCCCTCAGAACAGATATTCAATATTTTCCCACGAGAAGATGGTGATGAAGTTTTCATGGCCTCGGGAGATGATTATGATGTCTACACGACCACGGGAGATATTCAAGATATTGCGGCGCTTACGGTATATGATGATTCTGTTTCCATGATTGAGGGAGACAATCATGATGTCCATAGGACCTCAGAATATATTCAATTTATTGCAACAATTACGGAAGATAATAATTTTTCTGTGACTGGGGAAGACTACGATGATGTCCAAACAACCGCGAGAGATGGTCAGGATTTGGCCGCGATCACAGCTGTTTGATGTAAGCGTTTCGGACAATTGGAGTTCAATTGTATGTCCATAACTGTGCAATATTGGAATTTTCAACCCCTTTACATGCACATTTTTGCCAAGGCTTGTATTTGATCTCAAGTAAAAAAAAATGTTGTATCAACAAATTTGAAAAATAACTTGTAATAAATCAAATTTTCATAGAAATAACTAATAATTGTGCACTTTCAAAACTCCATAAATTGGGAACGGCGCTAAGGAAATATTAAATACAGTCTAAGCTATGAAACTTTTATTCATAACAACTACATTGATAATTCTACTAAATACAATTTGTCGACAGGAACATTTTATAACTGTTAAAACGATTATCTACAACTATATTTTAAGACCCTGTAAAGGCCTAACAAATTGGCATAATATTCACTTATAATGGCTTAATTGACTATTTCACTCTGTTTGAGTTACGGTATATCAATTACAAAACTTTTCATTTGATAAAGTCAGCAAATTAATCTCAGCTGCTCATTTAATTGATGGGCATTTTTGGTAGATTGCATCTTGAAACATGGACAGTGCCTGCTTACTTTACTATTTAAGTTCTGTAAGTACCTACTTTTGAGAAACCAGGTATTGTGAAGTTCCATTGTGGCAACCTGCTGATAACAAATGTTCAACTACCTGAACCTATACAGCCAGACAGTGTCAACTCCTGATCCGATGGTTTGGTCTGGGGTTCGGTTGGGAAGTGGAAACCTGCAAGCCACCACATGAGCATCTTTGCTCACTTCTTCATTCATCTTTTGTTCTAGTTCAACCATCTAAAAAAGACGATTAGTGAAAATCATTCTGAATTATAGTTAATGTAATAAGTTTAGCTTGTATGAAGTTTGTCCATAAATTACAACCTTAAACGAGCTCCAGTCGCGACCAAGGGAGCTAGTTTGAACACTACACCAAAGGTGAGTTTTTTGCTTCCCCACTGGTATTCTAACTAGAGCTTAGCAAAAATTGGTTTCGTCCTAGCAGCTGAAACCAATCATCAGGATCATTAGGTTTTTAATAAATTATCCTGACCAACAAAACAACAAAGCGACAAAGGTCATACAACTCCTTCAAAACTGCTGCATATGGCTCAGGAACCAACCTGGGTATGTGTCGCTGTATTAAAAAAATCATATTTGTAAATTTGATACCTAGTTATTGATTTATTTAATTTCTCTTTAGCGGTATTGTTTGAAACTGCTTATGTTTTGAAACCATTTCCCCCCCTACTGCAATCATAGGTTGTCTATCCAGCATCATAATCAGTAGCCTATTAATTTCCTAATCGGTGCAGGGAAAATTTACGCTTCTGCAATAGATTTTATTCGGTGATCAGCTTTCTGTGGCAAGGTGTTCAATCCCTTTTAAAATGTTTTGCAGCTAACTGTCACCTAATAATCTGCATAAATTGAATCCCATACAATTGAAATACATAATTCACACTTGGTGGCAGAATAAATGTTATCTCATGTTGGTTTGGACTACGGCAACCCTCATCATCACATAAGGGTAAGAACCAGCTACAAATAATCATATGGTAGACTAGTAAAGAAACACAGCTGGTGTCAGATTTGAACTAGCTTACTTGGTCGTGACTAGAGCCTTAATTTACAAACAGCCATCAAATGCACTGTAAATTTTGTATGTACAGGTAAACGTTAAATTCCAGTTTATGTTGGCTGCAACTGTTCATAGGCTACTGTTACAGCCTCAATGATATTCAGTAAATCGTGAATGAAGGTCGATTAGCTAGAGCTCTATTCTATTATAATAATAAATAAATAAAAAACGTCTACAGTTGCATGAGATTCTTTTGATATAAATTAGTAATCGCAAGTGATATGGTGCAGGACAGCTAAAAAATTCCTTACATCGTAAATGTTTCCCTGCATTTGGCGATATTACCTGTTGGGAACTTTGCTCTTATGCTACATATTACACTAAGCCTATATAGTGCTGTATTTTGTGGTATTACGATACCAAATGATAATTTTGGTATTGGAATCAGTCTATTGGTATGTATCTACCAGTGCATTAAACTATCAAAGAGAACATTACCAAAAGTCAGTAATTTTTATGGTTTGAAATTGGACCCAGGGGTCCTTGAATCATTGGGTTTTTAATCAATTATTTTGACCAATGAAACAACAAAGCGACAAACGTCAAACAACTCCTTCTACACTGCTGCTTATGGCTCAGGAACCAACCTGGGTATGTGTTGCTGTATTTAAAAAAATCATATTTGTAAATTTAGTGATACCCAGTTTATTGATTTATTTAATTTCTCTTTAGCGGTATTGTTTGAAACGGGTCCGCGGAATTGGCTAACTCTGGAACTCGCTAACCCCATGTTAAATGCCCTATCTTCAAATTTGGTCGATGTCAAGAGGAACTCGCTAACTTGTTCGGTTTCGGAATTGGCTAACTCCGGAACCCGCTAACCCGCTCTAGAGCCGGGTTAGCGAATTCCGTCCTCGTACGGAAGTCGCTAACTCGGTCCCTCGGCGAAACTCGCTAACTCCCAATCAGAAGCCTCGCGGGCCATCCAATGGGAGCCAAGCACGAATATTTTTGGCCAGTGTTGCCGAAAGTGTAGTACCTATATCGTATCGCCACCATAATGTCGTATCCTACGATTAATTAGGAGTAAGAGCAACGTAGTCGATAAAATAAATATATTTAGAAGTATGTTTAACCACAGAGAAGTTCTAATGATTATTAGGGTGGAAAATGCATTATAGTCTTACCATAGACTAACCAACACAAGTAAACTTTACATCCCATTGTAAACTTTGAAGCTCGTTTTTCGTGTCTAGTTCATGTCCGGTGACACTGATCGCTAGTGTCGACAAAATTGTGTTTCTATTATTTAATAGTTAACTTCATGATTTGTTCCTTACTGTTTGGTTATATAACTAGGGGATGTGTTGGTTAAACGAGGTTTTAAATTACTGAAAACAAGAAACAATTGTAAACAAAACATGACCTCTAAAGACAGTGCACCAGACAGAACTAACAATACAACTGTCTTCAGATCATCCATAAGGATGAGAAATGTACTAATATAAGGGAGTATGTTTTATATGTGGGTTTCTTACTTAAATAGTAGCTTATTGGTATGAAAAAGATAAAAATGCACATTTAATTTGGATCTATTACATGTTATGAAATATCTATTTTCGTAGTCCGCCATTTGTTTCTTTTATTCGAATAAATACCATTTTGTGAACTTCTGCAAATAAAATTTTTGAGTTCGTATTTTATATACTGGGCTTGTAGTAACCTTAAATCATAAATCATAATAAAATTTACACGTTAAACGTCATTACAGAATTACATTGTAGTGGTTATGTATTTTTAAATAGAGCTATTGAATTTAAATAAATATTTATCAATACATTATAAAGTGGTAGGCCTAATGTTTCATGGATTGCATTAAAAGTTAGTCTATGCATAAATACAACTTGTAAATTTCTTTTATCGTAGGCTATTAGTGTAGAACCCGGGTCATCCTCTTAATTTTGTTGAATTAATATTAATTTTACGTCTTTCAGTAGGCTTACTTTTTAAAAGTCTGGAGTTTTTTTCCAGGCTGGTTCTATCTTATCCAAAAACAAAGCTATTGTCTATTGTGTAGCTCAGTACTGGGGAACGGTGAACCGAGCAATGGCTTGGTATAGTTTATATCGTTTGTGAAAGCAATATAAAGGAAACCCAACACTCAAATCAGGAAAATCCGTCAATTAGTTTATTAAAAATCGTGAATTAAAATAACCCTGTCACGTTTTATTATATGAATATTATATCTTCTCCTATTTTTTACTAGTGGTGCTTAGGTGTACAATCTAAACACCGTTTTAAAACATGTAACATTATTGCTAAAAAATTCAACACATTTTAGAATTAGGCAACTATTTACTAGTAGGCCTACAATGCTTTGGTTCAAACTATTAGGCCTGGATAAAAACTTAGTCTATGTCATCATATTTGTACACGTAAGTTGGACGGTTCAACGACGAACATTTAATTTAAAATCTATGAATTAATTATGAAAGTTACGATGGTTGATGACTGTATTAATTAATGGTTTTGGTTTATTACGACATTACAATTAAATCTGTTTTCCGTTTTTAAGAACTTGCGTGTATTTTAGCTTAATTTCGTAGAGGTTTAATTATTTATTACCAATTAAACTAAATTTTGAATATTTTTCATATTCTATTATTTTCTTTTATACTGATGGCATTTATATTTAAGATCGAAATCATAAACATTTAACTGGCCATTGTACAGTTTAATAAAAAACACTTTTTCATGATTTTTTAATTGTCTTTTAATTACTTTGGGCTAGTTATCTGTTAAAAGTGGAATTGATAACAAAAAACAATAACATTTACTGTATCTTTATAGACACTGACATTTTGAAATACGGCAGTGTACGATTATTTTGTCGTACAAGGTTGGCAACGCTCCGAGCAGTGGGCGCGGCCGGGTTAGCGACTTCCAGAGTTAGCGAATTCCGCCGCGAGACAAAATCGAGTTAGCGGGTTCCGGAGTTAGCCAATTCCTGACTGAGACGGTTAACCAGTTCCAGAGTTAGCCAGTTCTGCCACACGACTGAGTTAGCGAGTTCCTGAGTTAGCCAATTCCTACGTCTCTTTGAAACTGCTTATGTTTTGAAACCATTTCCCACCCTACTGCAATCATAGGTTGTCTAACCAGCATCATTATCAGTAGCCTCTTAATTTCTTAATCAGTCAAATAATGGTGAGTATAATTCATTGACTAAATATTGCACCTTTGTTAAAATTTAACTCTTGAAACTTCCTGCCACAATATCCGACATAAGCTAACACAATATCGGTTTAAATGTAAAAAGGGGTTTACCATTTCTTCTACACCAAATATAACAATGTTGTTATACGGCCTTAACGAAAACCTCCACAGATCTTTTCGATGAAACGATGTTTTGCTAGAGAGTCCAGCCTTGAGTGCAGATAGGCGAGAGTAGAAAACCAGCCATGGATTTAGCTCCACACCATCAGCTTTGAACCCAGATGCCGCCGCTGCTAGTACCTTCACATATAAAATCTGATGTTACAAGGCCAAATAAAAAATAGTAGTAACTTAAGTGTAAAAAACAAGAACAACTTAAACTAGACTAGGTACAGTAAAAAGCAGGCCTAATGCATATAATTGGACTTAATGGTAAGGCCCCTGAGGTGTGATAAAGCAAGAAATATCCATTTACCAGCCGTCGATCAGCTTAAGTGTTTGCATGAAGAGGTTGGGACGTTCTTCTCCACAAAGGGTCATTACACCAAGCCCTCAGCTGAACTTCACATAGGCTATTTGAGGATTCCATCTTTGTGGCAGAACATGCCCTAACTTTCAGTTTTTAAAATTCCGATTTGAAATATCTAAATTTGGTAACGTATATTTCACCGACTTTATCTTAGACCCACAAGCTCCTGCCCGCTAGTAAATAGCAGTAGCAATAGTTTAGTCTGGTTTTAATTTATTCATTTGAAATTACCACCATTCCATTCACCTGGTACACATAATTACGTTTAAATTATTTTCATAATCGTTGGTTAGTTCCATGAAACTTCTTATCAGAGTTCTAAGCCCTGTCGTTGCGGACGATAGAATAAGTCTTGGGAGAATCCCGATTTGAACAGATGCGAAGAATATCAACCTGAAATTATTTCAACCGTATCACGATAAATCCTTCGTTGAGAAGAAGAAGAAATTTGAGTGTGGCTGGTTCTAGGGGTTGGCCTAGTCTGGTCTATCTTGCAAAAACCACTTTATTCCCCCCTTAGAATCTAAATTACACACATGTGAAAATAATTCCAAAATATAACAGTTTTTCAAAGTGATGTTAACATTTTTGTAAATCTTAAATCTGTGATAGGTAACACTAAGACATTGATGATTAAGAAATGAGCAATTAACAATCTTTCAGCAAAATAAATAAAACCTTGGACTATTGATAGAAGTAGCGATCTCATGATTATGTCAATATGTAGCTAGTTTTATAATAACAATGATTGATGTAGTTGATTTGAGCCATCGACAGAGAGCACTGAAGTCGGTCAGGCCTAGGTCTACGATTTCTGGCGATTACCTAGGCCAAAATTAATTTTCAATCGTCAGATATAAATAATGGTCTTTTTATCTTTGATCTTTCTATGTCATCACTTTCAATGCTATTTGATCAATAGTACTGTTAACATTTGTATGTTAATTAAGGAATACCCCTATATTTCTAGACACATTCTTAAGTTAATGTAAGCTAGAAACAGAGAAGTTGTTCAAGTGGGTTTTCACTTGTAACCTACTCAATTAAACTTGTAGGCCCTAATATTTTTTATTGTGTCCTCTGTTGTATAATATTGTGCGTATATTTATACCTACTTACAATGCGGCCATCCCCGCTTCCTATATCTACAAGATGTCCACTCCTGCCCCTAAGAGCCGACAAAACATTTTCAACCTGCACTGTAGTAGCTGGTACATATGGTAGACATATTCTTCTTAGAGCTGGTGACACGAATGGAGCGCATAAAACAGTGAGTGCAACAGCTGCTCCACCTGTGACACCCATATAGATGTGAACGCTGCATACAAGTAACTAATAGCTTACTTAATGTTTAATTGAAAGCTGGTTAAACCATTTTACACGAAAGCACTCACAATTATCAAGAGAAAATCTCCTTTTGGTTGCAATTCTTTATTTGTTTAAAATTTAAACAGCCTTAAAAAGAATTATACAGATTTAAAACGTAGGCTATCAGGATAATATGATTAGGCTCTAGGCTAGTTATATTATTCCGAGATGGAATTCTAGCCTATTGTAGTGGTAGATAATTTTATCATGTCCTCTCAAGTGTCTTTAAGTGAATTAATAATTTATGTAGGCCTACTACCCAAACCAATTTGATTCTGTTATGGTTGAATGAAATTATCCTAACCAACCCAAAATATTTCTGGTTGAAAATAAATAATAGAATAATAAGTAAAGTAGGCCTAACCTAAAACATTCAACCTGTACACTTCCTTGTCAAGCCATGCTATAATATTTACCTGATTCTGTTATGGTTGAATGAAATTATCCTAACCAACCCAAAATATTTCTGGTTGAAAATAAATAATAGAATAATAAGTAAAGTAGGCCTAACCTAAAACATTCAACCTGTACACTTCCTTGTCAAGCCATGCTATAATGTTTTAAAATGAATCAAAGAACTAATTTGAATAATCTTTTGATATTTACCACTAATCCCTATTAAAAATAACCCAGACTTGTTCAAATTAGTAGATTTCAAGCTACCCTCAACCTCACTCATTTTTAATAACAATAGCAGAGGCAGACGACATGAACAACGAACAAGAACAACATTCTGGCTGCTCTGGCTGGCTGCGCTTGTGCTCACAGCTACCACACGACCTTCTAGTCGAAGGGGGAGGTGCAGCTGTCGCGCATGCGCACAAGCACTGCTCTGCTGTCACTGTTATTTGCACAGTTAACTTTTGGTTCCGTTCCACGGCCACCGTGTAACCGTTATAGCTGTTTGCAGGGTTAGGGGTTAAAAACCAAAAGTAGTAAAGTTCTCCAATCCAAACCATTGGCACTGGCACTAAATCCGTGAAGCATAGGTCTCTTTCTTTCTAGCTAGGGCTAGGCTAGAATTATATTGCTAACCATTTAATGGTGGATTTTATTATTATTTTCGTTTTTTATATTACTAATTTTAATTAGGACGTGTTGGTATACATTTTTACACCCTTTATTACTTTAAAGCTATCCGTTAATCTGCGTGAATGTTAAAAATGTAGGCCTAGGTCAAATAGAGGCCTAGCCAAAAACTAGGCTAGAAATTATGGCTAAGAGACATATCCGCATTCTTATCTAAAGTAAGAGTAGGTATAAATAGGCCTACCTACACAAATAAGATTTAAAATACCAACTAAAATACTAGGCTCGGTTATCGTTGGCTAAAAGGCGGCATTTAGCCTATTTAAAAGTTGTTGTGCTTTAGATGTATTACACGTACCACACTAGCTGTTATACCCATAGCCACTCTTCTACACATTGTTATTGTTAGTATTATGGAAAGCTTTGTCATTTATTATTCTAATCTCTCTAAAGAAGAAGGGGTGGTTGTAATTATGATAATTTCTAAATGGCTTTTAGTAAATATGATAATCTAAAATTATTTTAGTTCATCTAGAAAAGAGAGTGGTCACTGAGTCTATTATGGCGAAAATGTCCTAATTCTGGTCACCTTCGCAATATATTTTTAGTGAATACGCCGAAGAAAATAGTTTATTACAGGTTTTACATTCCATATTAAAAATTAATTGAAGTTAACATAACTCATCCACATCCTTGGTTTAAGTTACCGGTAGTGCAAACTTTAACTCGAAGTTCTAAGTTAGGTTGTGAAACGTGAAAGGAAACAAAAACAAAACTTACAACCCAAAATATCTGTCAAACTGAGTGAAATGAGTGAGGCGTGGCAACTCCGTTAACGGTTACAACGTTACAAGGTGTAGTGACCGGGAACGCGAAGTAACGCAATAGGTTCTCAAAACTGCTACTGCTACTTTGAAAATAACAACAGTGACAGCTTGTGCGCATGCGCGACATCTGTACCTCCCCCTCCGACTAGAAGGTCGTGCTACCACAGCTACAGCTGACAAACCAAAACCTTTTTCCGTACCATTAAACTTGTCAAACTTGGCCGGTTTTAGTCAGGCTACGCAGCTGCGTAGTTTACTTTTTTCATTTCTTATAATCTCTTTGGTTTTATGTCATATTTTTCTTACAGAATTTATGAAAGTTATTGGATTTGCCCGTTCTTTGCAATGAGGTAAGGATATGGAAGAGAGAATAGTAGTGTGTTCTTTATATCAACAGAAAACAATTGCGCCCCCAACCAATGGTTAAAAAAGGCGGTAATTCTGAGCAATTACTTGGTCAACCCCAATTTTTTTCATATTTTACTACGGTCATCAGGAGGTTCTCAGAAAGCAAGAAACATATAATTCAAGGCCCGCAAGGCCATCGTACAGGTTGCAGAGCGATAAGAAGGTTCAAAGTCCAAGCGATAACAGTGGCTTGCGGGAGACGCGCGGAAGGCCAGTTGTGACAGTAGGCCTACCGTTATGACTATGGCTAGTGGTTCCTCCGACAATCCTTTTCTATGTGACGGGTGTGAAAACACGTTACTTAGTTTTACGGTTTTAAGTGAAGATGAGGAAATGTTAACTTATTATGTTTGTTTTAGTCTCAAATACATCTCTAAGGCCAATTGTAACAGTACCGTTACGTTAGGTTAGGTTAGAATAACCTAACTTAACCTAACCTAACCTAACTTTACCTTGCGGAACTTGAATTATATGTTTCTTGCTTTCTGAGAACCTCCCGATGACCGTAGTAAAATATGAAAAAAATTGGGGTTGACCAAGTAATTGCTCAGAATTACCAAAAAGGCATAGCTCAATCTGTGGCTTAATCGTACTTTATTGCTTATTTTTAAGTGTTTTTAATCAATTTATAATATTGAATTTGGCTAAGATTAAAAAAATATAGGGTTTTACTTTCACCAAGGGGGTTATCATTACTATGTACATACTCATGTACATACTCATCGCGATCACTAGAGATGATCACGATGTACTCTCGATCACGGTTGTGGAATAAGCGTACTGTGATGAATACACACCAAATGTATGATGAATGAAGCAATGAGCTGTCTTTGATTATAACAACATCAGACATGATTTACAACAAAGCAATTGTTAACCACCGAATATTATTACCATCTTAAATCATCTTTGTATGGCAAAATTGCAAATAGGTACCCTTGTTTTTGCTGCATGGTTAAGTTCCATAGATTGCTGTTTCCAATACTTAGTGCTTATTTTTACAGGAAAATGAATATATTTACAACAGAGGTATAAGGAAATAATTGTTTATATGTATAAACTATGAGTATAATTTTCAAAACACATGAATGAGGATAAGCGTTGGATTCCGATCCATCTCTAGAGGAGCAGTCACAGTTTTTATCACAGTCATGTGTTTGTAAAATGCTTTCACTTTCTGCCAGTACCACCTTCGCATTGTTCGCTTTCAAGGAACAATTATAAAATCTGTTGAGTTTGATTATGTCTTGCTCGCTGAAACCAATTCTTTGTCCAATGAGTTTTGTTCTAGGCTTGATCTGTGGGTAAACACAACAATTTTTTTTAATAAAAAAATAAAATAAAAATTTTGTTATATGTTTAAAAGGAATCAAAAATCTTTAACCAACCTTTCTGATTTGGCCTGATTGGCTTGATTAGTCCTCAAATATAGCTGTACAACCAACACAAACAAGATTTATTAATAATTACACGTATTTGAGGGGTAAGTTTTACTCTTATGTGCTTCTTGAAAAAAAACATATAACTTCAATCCATACTGTTACCAGTGACCCAGCGCCCCCAGTAACAGGTCTGAGCGCCAGGTACAAAAATGATCTATACAAATTCACCAGTGTTTTTCTATACCTTCCGTGCAGAAAACGTCTTAAAAATAAATATGAGTTACTGTAGTCGTGCTATCAAAATCACTCTGTAAATATATTTATTGCCACGCTAGTTGCGTCAACTAACTACTGTCCTCAACACTCTTGTGAAAGGCGCGAAATAAAGTAAATTTCGCTAATTTCTTTGCCTTTTGATCTTCATTACTGAGATGGATTGGGGTTTTGACTTGACTTGAGTAACTTAATGTTGAATTGACTTCGGTATAGCAAAATTAGTAGCAAAGACAATAGAAGAGCGTTTCGGGGTTCCGATGTTTTTAGGACGTCTCCTATAGCCTAGTTGAAACTCCCATTTGAAATACAGGGTTTATGGGCTCTTGGCACTGTACTCCACGGTAAACGTTGAGTGTGGTGTAGACTAGAGCCCTGCTGGTCTATTGATTAGAAATCGAAACATCCACCAGAGAAACCTGGGTTCAAATCCCAGTAATCACCAATATTTTTAGTTGAATCATTCTTACCTTAGCAATGATTGTTGGTAAAGAATTATTGCTCATGGCACAGAGTCGGTAATGCATTAGGCTGCTGAAATCATACGAAGCTCCAAAATCGTCCAATTTGACATTCGAATCAATTTCAAAATTTTTCCAATAAGCTGTAACAGAAAAACATATTCATTAAATTAAAAATCATGTATCAATACAACTTAACCAATAATCATTACATGTACTTGTATTTGATTCCACGCAAAGCTATTTTGGGTTTGGTTGAATTATTTATATCTAATTAACTTGTATCATTGATTTAGTTTTTTTATACACTGGTGCACCCAGTATCTCTGCTATAAAAATTACCAAAATAAAACAAGATACCTTAAAAAATGAATTGATTTTAAATCAAAGGTGATGTTACATATGTTGGTTTGATTGCGGTATCTCAAGTTTATCTCATTTTCAAGTATCGGGCAGTGAGTCCCAGGACTAATGTGGATTTATGTGTCGACTGGTCACACTATCAACAACTCTAAATTTTTTTGGGACCAATTCTTAGCCAGTAGGCCCTGGGACTGAATACCCTACGATTCGTGTATAGATTGTAAATCTATAACATATTATGTTTTGGCTATGCTCTAACCGTAGTCGATGTTGGAGTAGTTGATGTACACGTACTTGTCCCTGTCTGGCCGCATATGTTCATGTGTAAAGCCCAGTGTGTGAAGCATCTCATGCATGGCCACCCCTACACTGCGAGCACACCGAGGACTGAGGTACAGAGGTTGTGGTCCTCCCTGTCTACCTACGTGGGATGAACATTCACCTCTGGCAATACAACACAAGGTTAGGTCAAGATATGTTAGAAAGGCATACCACATGTTCATGTGTGAAGTAGCATGGCCACCCCATACACTACGAGCACACCGAGGACTGAGGTACAGGGGTTGTGGTCTACCTACGTGGGACGAACATTCACCTCTGGCAATACAATACAAGGTTAGGTCAAGATATGTTAGAAAGGCATACCACATGTTCATGTGTGAAGTTGCATGGCCACTCCTACACTACGAGCATACCGAGGACTGAGGTACAGGGGTTGTGGTCCTCCCTGTCTACCTACGTGGGACGAACATTCACCTCTGGCAATACAATACAAGGTTAGGTCAAGATATGTTAGAACACAGAGGATACGCGTCCGGTAACCAGACGTGGATTAGGCGTCCGGTAACCAGACGTGGATTAGGCGATGCATAAAGAGCTTGTCTTTACTGTCAAATTACTCTACAACTTCGGATCAATCCCGCATGCAATCTCTTGCCTCAAGCCAAGAAACAGAGACTTGCATCAACCTAACCGCACCACACCGTAATTAACCAACTTTGAACCTAAAAATTTATCTTAAGTCCTAAACAATATTCATTACTAAGCATTCTACATTGATACTCTTCCGTACAGCCAATGAAAACTAACCAATTGACTACAAACGAAACCCACAAGAGGCAATTAAAGAACAATTAGTTTTATCAGGTAAAATTGATACACATACCAACACAAAACTACACAGCAAGCCATACACAACAGAATTACTGGCACAATGAATAATGATTGTTATCTATAGTTTTTGTTTAGACAATCCTTTACGTGCTTCATATTATCATAATAGTATTCAAGTACATAGCCCAGGTATATAAAATATAAATTACACACTGTTTCTATACAAACCGGATTGAATATTCAATTACAATATAATCAGGTTCTCCCGTCCACTCAATAAACTTTATACAACTGTGTTTGTGGAACTCCTTCATGGCTTTGACGGTCTGTTTGCGGTCCGAGTCTCCTATAAAGTGAAACACACATTAATTGAATATCAAATAATGTATTTTAGTCTATTCATGTTACGGCATGATTTAAAATTTCAGCGAAATAAAAACGTTTAAATATACGCAAGCTACTATTTTTCAACCAAACTATTCAACCACACAATGAAAAAAGATAAAATTTAAAGAAAATAAATTGGGATTAGAAAGTGAATGATATCGCCTCGAATGAAAGCGAATTATTATACACTATTAAATCTCCGTGTGAAACTTTTACGTTATGTTTTGATTATAGAGAGAGAAAAAACCCGATTCGCCCGATTCACCTAACCAGAAACAAAATTCTCTAAGGTAGCCTATCCCTACATCCGAGGAAGGCTTAATCCATGTAGTCCATGCACTCTAATTTAATCAGTGAAAGCGATTGCAACTGGAAGGTAGATTGGTGTAAATGTATTGTGCTGATGCATCACTGCTTACGTCAGAAAACTCGTCAAAGTTCATTAACCAGGGGGGGGGGCTGGTGCTGAGGGGGTGAGGGGGGGTATGGAATCACTTCTGCAGAGTTAAACGGGAGAAGAAAATAATTTACATGGTTTACATCAAAATTTTAATCAAATCGTCAACTTCATACAATAGATCAGCCGTGCTCCAATAGCTTTCAGCTTTTACTATCGATAATAGGGGTTAAATAATACCAGCTGGCCTTTTTAAAACTAGATCCACCAGTTCTATTTGCTTTGACTTTAGACAATCTGCCATGTCAAGGTTGTAGCCAATAATGTAATTAGGTTGAGTACCGACGGATTGCTGGTTTTATTATTGATTTGTCTGAATCCGCTAATATTTGAAGCTATCCAGGCGTAAAAAGACATGCTATGAACTGAATGAGATAGAAAATTATAATTTTGTCTGTAGCACAGTCTGTGAGTGGTTAATTCAATTATGTCCATATCTAATATATAAAATTCTCGTGTCACAGTGTTTGTCTGCAAACTCCTCCGGAACGACTTCACCGATCGTTATGAAATTTGGTGTGTAAATTCTGTAGGTATGCGAATCGGACGTAAACTACGGGAAGATTTCCCGTTTCGAAATTCTTAAAAGGGCTCCGCCCCAGTGGCTCTGGAGTTTCCCATGTTAACCTTATGAGAAATGGAATTAATGAATTTTAACAGCTGTTTCAATTAAACAAGTTGGTTCTGTTCTATGATGTTCAATAGCATTAAAGTTACAAGGATTACCAACAGGGTGCAGCACTGTTATTTCTTTTACATTTATGACAACAGCTAATTTGCAACCAAAAGGTGAGTGAGCGTAGCGAACGAGCTCCAACCCAAAGGTGAGTGAGCGTAGCGAAGGAACTTCAACCAGGACGTGATTGAGCGATGCGAACGAGAGAGGCGAGTGAGCGAAGCGAACGAGCTAACCTGAAGGCAAGTGAGCGCAGCGAACGAACTTCAACCAGGACGTGATTGAGCGATGCGAACGAGATCATCTTGAAAATTAAACGTAACGGTACTTTCTTTCCATCGGTCTGTCTTAGGGGAAACCTATAACTTAGGCGATACGAAGTTCGCCGGGTCAGCTAGTAAATCTATATAATTAATACGCTACATGAAACTTTGTCGGTTGAACTCCTCCGCCATTTCTTAACTGATTTTATCCATTGACGTCTCATTGGAAAGAGCGTGTCGCGTAGATTTGCAAACTGGCCTTACATTTTTGAAAAAGTCCCTTGGCCTCTGCCCCATTGGCTTTTGAAAGTTCCCATGTTATCCTTATGGAGAACACAATAATTGTTTACATTTTGATCAGCTGTATAATTTAATTGCTGTTATTTATTTTTCAATTCAATGTCGTCATTGAGTACATTTATTTACTACAGTATTTGAGTTTGTGTAAACATAACCCCCAAGACGGATCGTGTAAGTATGGTTGTATCTTAAATTTGTGCATTTATCGTTGTTTTGTGTAGCTATAATTTGTTTATTTGTTGTATTTTTTTAAATGCCTACGACGTGACGACAACGAAACATAGACAGGAGACGTAATCGTGATAACGACCGCAGCTACAGAACAGTGGCGCGTAATAGGCTTAACTCATCAAGTCAGCACCTGACCCTGGACAATCTCAACTATTAAGTTATAAATACGCCTTAACACTACCCCAAAACGACTTTTTGTTCTCAATTGGCCCTCTATCAATGACCTGTGTTGCCTGTACAGTGAGGCATTTTGAGAAGGAGAAAACCGGCCGGAATGCTTAAGGTTTATCAATAACGAAGATAAACATGGTCTGAATTACACACCGGTACCTAATCTTTGAGTTGACTCTTTTAAACTCATTGTAAATATGACTGTTATTCGTTTTGAAATAACTCCTGTAATACTTTGCAATTGCTCGAATTCGAGCAACGTATACACTAGTGGAATAACTACTTCAGTATCTAAAAGTCAAATCTTTAAACTATGAAGTAACAGTAATGACCTCGTGGTTCAAAGCTATCCTTAAGCCGAATGTTCATTTATCTACAACAAATGTTGAGGTGAGGAAACAATTTACTGTATTTGGATAACTGTGACACTCTAGCAATACCATAATTTCTAAAGAAGTGAAAAATCTCAAATTCACGTCGAGTGTGATGAAAGCTCGTTAAACACAGCTTGTTAACTGGTGCAGATGACATTTGTTTCTGCCAATAGCTGATTACAAGCAAACAATTTCAGCTGACGATTCGTAATACTAACTGCAAACACAAAGTGTAAATAACCTGGTAGTCCAGTCAATGAATGATCCAAAAGTAGGTGTAGAGTGCGTGAGCAGGTAACTAAGCGATTCCTTCAGAAACTTGTTCAGGGGGCTTAGGGTGTTAACATACCAAAAGTCCTGCCTCCTAGGTGGTGAGCCAGGGGGTGGAGGGGGGAAAAAGGGGGGAGAAAGGTAAGCATTTTGGGTTTTTTGATTATATCTCGAAAACTATCAACTTTTTGTATACTATAGTAAATTATAAAATTGAAGAAGATTAAATTTTCTACAAGAAAAGTATATAATATGTTTATTTTGGTTCAACAGATTACGAGTTATAACTTATTTAATTAATATCTTATTAAAATACTCCTTCCATAAGAAACACATGTAAATTAGTATGTGAAATGGGGCGAATCCTATCCGCCCAAAGGAAATATAACTGATATTCTGGAAATCTTGACAAAATTTCCAGTAATTTGACACTTTAATCGTGAAATTTTGTCAAAAATTAAAGCGAGGGTGAGCGTTTAAAAACGGGATGATTTGAGGTTTTTTTATATTTCCAATAAAAAAAACACCAAAACTCGACATTTTGTTACCTCGCCCTCGCCTTAATTTTGGATCAATTTTAATGATTAAAGTGTCAAATTACTGGAAATTTTGTCAAGATTTCCAGAATATCAGTTATATTTCCTTTGGGCGGATAGGATTCGCCCCATTTCACATACTAATTTACATGTGTTTCTTATGGAAGGAGTATTTTAATAAGATATTAATTAAATAAGTTATAACTCGTAATCTGTTGAACCAAAATTAACACATTATATACTTTTCTTGTAGAAAATTTAATCTTCTTCAATTTTATAATTTATTATAGTATACAAAAAGTTGATAGTTTTCGAGATATAATCAAAAAACCCAAAATGCGTACCTTTCTCCCCCCCCCCTTTCCCCCCCCCCACCCCCTGGCTCACCACCTAGGAGTCAGGACTTTTGGTATGTTAACACCCTAAGCCCCCTGAACAATTTTCTGAAGGAATCGCTTAGTTACCTGCTCACGCACTCTACACCTCATTCCTTGACTGGACTATGGGCGTTTGTTTAGCAAAATAAAATGGTTCCTCAATTGACCTGTATTTTAACATTTCGTTCATCTTTAGACAAGATAATCTTAAATGAGTAGAAATTCTTTGTGATTTCCGTTACATATGCAGGATAGTTTAGACCCCTCGATCCAGTCGCTGTATTCAGAATTTCTATTTAGACTATAAAATAAAATATAAAACTGTAAAATATCTTACTCATGTTATGATGAAAAACATACGGTACAGTAGCGTTTGGCCATTTTAGATCCAAAACGGGCGTATGTAAAAATGTGGCTGCAGGTACCATGTCTTCATTGGAGCTTGAATAGTCCCTGGGATAGTGTGAATTTTGAGGAGGAATAATATCATCATCTTTGCCATAATAGTCTGTTTCATTGTTGACGTCAAGTCCTGTAAATATGTAGTGAAGGTTTGATTCTAAAGTTTAGACTTAACTTGCTCTCTTTGACAAAAGATAATGTTATCAGAATGAGCTGTAGGTAAAAGTAAAGATTAAACTACCTACCAACAGTGCTTGTAGCCAAACACAATCAAAATTTCTAGAACTATACCAGTTGATTTGTCTTAATGTTACGAAATCATATTTGAAAATTTGAAAAGTGATATCAAGGCTATGTGAAGCTTTTCGTAGAACAAGAATTGGTTTTAGTCGTATGACTATTATATTTAGAGACAGCCTACCAAATAATACTTAACGTTCAATACACATATTTAACACAATTAACTTTTAGGTTGGTGGAGAATGGATGGGTTCTTAAATAAATCCAATTCTGTTTCGGCTCTGTAGGATCATTTCACGTTACGTGCGACCGTTGTTAATCTCTTTAAATTGAAGTTGACTTTATCGCGGGATGTGATTTTAGTTTCTGAGAGACTTTACGATAAGGTATTGATTGTTTTTACAAGCAAATACCTTATGACGAACAAATCAGACAATGTCGAAAGTCAATAATAATACATCAAGGTGTTTCATGAAAAAAAAAATGAATTGTTTTACGAATAGATATATTTTTTAAAACACGGAGGAAATTAAATAATTTGGATATTTTCAACTGTTTGAAAAAGTATTTTACAAATACTATAATGAACTTTACAAATTCTTTTGGTAAAATATAATGTAAAGTTAATAATAAAAACCATTCTAATTTATTGTGTGTTTTCTACAGTAAAAATAATCATCGCTCATGAACATTGCTAATTAGCGTGATAAACATATTAACTATCGCAAATAGTTTTACATGCTTTGCAATAACACAGTCGACTCAATTAAAAGTTAGTCGAGCGTTACAAATGAAAACAGAACCTAATAGTAATTTAAAATTAATGACAATCGATCGGTTCAAAGCAATAAAATAACGTGTATTTGTCCTGATCGTGCTATCTGGCGTGACTGTTTATGTACAAAGGTAACCTACTATAAAAGTTAAATTTAATTTTACCATATTATAATCATAGCAATGTTCACATATATTTCCGTCTTTTTTACAATTTTGGCATTTGTCAACACACAATCATGGTGGCCAAGAGAGAGTGATGACTATGATCATGACTACGATTACGAACAACATGAAGCTTATCCCTCCTACAGCAGAAAAACACCTCCAGAACAATTCGACAGCTATGAAATCGACGAATCACTCCCGGCATATCAACCCGAAAGCTATGAATTTGACAAATCATCCTCTCCAGAACTACCCGACAGCTATGAAACTGACGAATCATCTTATCCAGAACTACCCGACAGCTATGAAACTGACGAATCATCCTCTTCAGAACTACCCGACAGCTATGAAACTGACGAACCATCCTCTTCAGAACTACCCGACAGGTATGAAACTAACGAATTGTCCAAAGAGTCAGGTTTTGAAAAGGAACTCTTGCGTGACATGGTACATATCATCAGCGTAGAAGCCAAGGACTTCGTTAGAAGAATTGAGATGCAAGTTGAGAAGAGGTGTAAAGGAAAACGAAGCATCATATGTGAAGCTGTACCTAAAGGGCTGTACTTGTTGGAACGTCTAATTGATACACTGATGCATCAGGTACGTTACTGAACCAAACATTTCGGTAAAATTTAGATTAAATGTAAACTGTATTTAATAAAATAGAGAAACGGGTTGATGAAATCACAAAAATTAACTTTATCGATACTATTAACTGGATTCTGTACTAAACTGATATTGAGAGTGTAGATTGTGTAATAAATGTTATTTCGTTCACATTGCAGCCTAAACCCAACTTTGCCTCGATTGTTAACTATGATTTATTCTTATTCTTTATATTACATAATTTTGGTTGATTTGGTCAAACTTTTGTTCACTAATTTTCTGCACACTAAAAGCGTTGGCCATAGGTTAACATTAGATGCCCTGTTCCCCTGTTCCATTATTTAAGCTGTAACCTAGATCTTTTAATGAAATGAGTGTTCTTTTGTTATTAAGGGTTGTCCATATACTTCTTGTAACCAAGCCAAATTAAAGAAAGGCTGATTGTAAACAATAGAATATGTAATTTTAATTGTCATATTAAGCTTTTATAAATTGATATCATCATTGAAAACTAAGGGGGGGGGAATATAGTTTTAAAAACAACACACTGTTTTAGAGATTTATCCAGCTAGGATATAATATAACTAGATATGGATGCAATGTTTATTGTATAATTAGAAGTCTATGATAAAAGACACATAGCATGTTGCTTATTGTTTGGCAATATTTGGCAAGTACCAAATAACAACGACAACTTTTTAAAGTACACTGGCAACTCTTCTCTCTGTAAAGGTTAGGTTTAACTCGTAATTAGTTTTATGAGTAAAATAGTAGCCTAAACTACCTAACGCATCCATTTAAGAATTTTTTAGTTGTAGTAAACTATATCAAACTTTTGTATTATGTAAAAATCTATACTGGATGGGGAAAATGACACTAGCAATAGGACTATTTAAAAAACGTAATAAGCTACAACATTATTGTCAATACTATATAAGTCTTTTTATAGTCTTTTATTTGGTTTTGATTACAGCTTGCTTTAGACCCCCGCAAAACACGGTCCTCCTTCGGGACACGCGAAATCAAGAATGAACTAGCCAATATAACCAGTGAGATTCAGAAGTTCATGCATAAAACTATAAGCAAGGTGCGAGGTATCTGTGGAGGAAGCAACAGTGCTGTATGCAACGCCTACCTAAAAGGCATTGGGCTGGTGGAAAACGTCATTGGAAAACTATCGAATATAGCATGATAAATAAATGTTGAAGGAATAATCGAATTATAGTGTCTAAATCCGTTTACCATACTTACTTTCCGTGTCCGGAAATCAGACTTCGCTTTTCCAAAAAAATTAGCTACCGATATGGCTTTGTCATTCGCATGTAAAAGATCATCTAATGTGCAAGACTGGTCTAGGCGTGGGCAGATCAGCAGATGGCCAGGATCCTGAACAGCACCACACGCGCACAAGATGTTTTCTTCGTCTGGTAAGAGACCCCATTTCCGCATGTTTGTCTTGCATTTTGGTACCTCGACCCTAATTCGATTTAGGGTCTTCCACACCGTGTAATGAAGGCCTCCACCATATATATCGATATATCGAATGAAACAATCGAATGAAAATATCGAATCGAAAAAACAATCGAATGAGTGTAGGACGTCAAGTAAAGTGCAGCCGGATTTAGGTTAAATACGTGTTTAACAATAGTTAACATTGATAGCTTAATGTTCAGAGTAAAACAAATTGGTACTTACCTAGACACATGGAAACAGAATATTCTGAAATGAAACAGAGCATTAATAAACTAAACCACATTGTAATAATTTTGAAATAGTTTCACCCATAAATGGTGTTGTTGGTTCATCGTAATGCTAATGTAATGTTTTAGAATTTGGTCGGTTATAACAGAAACATGTCTACAACATTTGTTTTTTTTTTTATGAAACACAGAAAACGAAAACAAAATAGGTGATCAGCTGGCTAAATTGGTTTACATTGCAAAAGACACATTTTTGAAGAGACTGAATTAGCACGGTTTGTCTAATAGCTTTGACTATTAATACAACAACATAGTCAGGGAAAAACATTTGCATTGGTTTTTCCTTCCGTCATGGGTTTGACCTGAAGTAGACATTCTAGTATTCATAAACCCACCAATACCAGTGTCACCAACTTAAGTATGTGTGAGCCAGTCACAGAATGCGCTAGTGTCTAAAACTCTATGTTATTTATTTATTTATTACATACACGGAAAACGCCATTTTACAGGAGAGTTGAGTTGAGATTGATAGTTATAGTGCGATCAATAATTAAATATTTAAAAAAATATGAAATACTAATAAATAATATGAAATATAATAATATGAAATACTAGTAAATAACATGAAATATAATAATATAAAATGCGATAACAATACAGTTTTGATTAATAAATATAATGATTTACAGGACGTGACAGCTATACAGGCATGTTGCACGAAAAACAATATAAATAGACAATTTAACAACAAAAACAATCATAAAATAGACTATTAACAACAAAAACTACATGACAAACCATTTTGAACAAGACAATCTATACAGGGTGTTTTTTTAAAAACTTGCATCTTTATTTATGTAAAAACCGCAATAGATAGAAATATGCAGTTTGCGGGAATCATCTATTGACGTAGGGGGACCAATTGTTTTGAATTCAACATTACATTCACATTCCCCCCCTTTCCCCCCTGCCCCCAACTTATTTTTTTTAAATAGCAAGGTACCCCTTGTGACATATCAAATAAAAGAGCATAAAAAAGAAAATGTTTGATGAAAAAAATTGAAAATCGGTTCATAAATTTGTGAGATATTCCCCCCCTCACCCCCCCGGAAGTTAATTTTTTTTTAATAGCAAAGTACCCCTTGTGACATATCAAATGAAAGAGCATGAAAAAAGAAAATTTTTGGTGAAAAAAAAATTTAAAATCGGCTCATGAATTTGTGAGATAATCACCCCCCTTTTCCCCTACCCATAACTTGTTTTTTAATAGCAAGGTACCCGCCCTTGTGACATATCAAATGAAAAATAAATTTCACCAAAATTTTTCTTTTTTCATGCTCTTTCATTTGATATGTCACAAGGGGTACTTTGCTATTAAAAAAAAATAAGTTCCGGGGGGGTGAGGGGGGGAATATCTCACAAATTTATGAACCGATTTTCAATTTTTTTTCATCAAACATTTTCTTTTTTCATGCTCTTTTATTTAATATGTCACAAGGGGTACCTTGCTATTTAAAAAAATTAAGTTGGGGGCAGGGGGGGAAAGGGGGGGAATGTGAATGTAACGTTGAATTCAAAACAATTGGTCCCCCTACGTCAATAGATGATTCCCGCAAACTGCATATTTCTATCTATTGCGGTTTTTACATAAATAAAGATGCAAGTTTTTAAAAAAACACCCTGTATATTACTTATTTAATACGCAAGCAGATGTTTTGTGACAATTACTCCTCCGAAACTAATGAACCGATTGTCATGTTTTTGGTGTCATTGGAAAGAGCGTAACGTGAAGTTGTGTAGGAAACTTTCTTTTTAGGGAAATGATGTGAGAGTGAGGCCCTGGAGCCCTTTAAAGTTTCGTATTTCTCCGTAAGATTAACATTGGAAACAAAAATTGTTATGAAACTCCAGCTGTTGTCACTAATCACAAGTAAGAAGAAGAGCATATGTTAATTGTAAACAGTCAATAAGTTTACTAATTTAACAGTTTGCTACAAACTTGCTGACTTGGCTGAAATTTGTTTTTAAATAACGCCTGTAATACTTAGCAATTGCTCGAATTCGAGCAACAGGGACACTAGTATAGATCAATTACAACAAAAACAATATAAATAGACTATTTAACAACAACAACAAAATAAATAGACCATACAACAGTAAAACAGAAGGAGAAACAGATGAGTGACATTATTAACAATATTTCACTACATGTGCATTCTTACGGCACTCGTTTCGGACTACCTTACCTATGTTGCTGACCAAGTTGATGGGTCATAACAGGTGCTATAGTCACTGTTTTTGATAAGTTGATGAAATGAGGTTAAGATATCGATTGGGCCTTAACAGTCACAATAAGACATCCCCATAGGAGCAAAAAAGTTCCTAAGCCTTCCTAGCTTGAAGTTAAAAAGTTTGATAACTTCGTAAAATAGTTCGTGTATTCTACAGAATTTGGTTAATTTAGATCAGTGCAATCTATCGGTGGCTCACATCAACTACGATATTTTGATTTAAACTTGGCCACAAATTAAACGTAGGGATGAAATGTCTAGGACTTTGTATTGTGGAAGTGGACTTTGCATCCAATAGCTGGTAAATGTGAAGCCTTTTTTATCTGTGTTGCATGTCTGTTTACGTCTGAGTAACCTTAATTCGGAGAGTAAATAAATTTGAAGACTAAATATCTATCATGTTGTAGGACACATTTTAGGAATTCAACATGGTTCTTTAATAAAGCAATAGTTTGTAGGTATTGTAAACATACTTTTAAGCGGGTTACAAACTAAAAGCAATAATTTTATTTAAAAAACCTCAAATAAACCGTACATTAAAAATCTATATTAAAAAAGGACCAGTATGGATTGACGACCTTTAAACAAATAACTTTGCTAACCCGAATATTAAACTAAAATTCGTAACGGACGAACTTGACGCTTTGATTAATTTAAATATACAAACACGTATATTTACGTTTGTACGTTTGTATATTTACGTTGTTTTACGTTTGTATATTTAAATATTTAAATATACAAACACGTTTAATTTCGGACTAGTTACGTAATTTGTTTGGGCGTATGATTTATACCGTCCCTATTTAATATACGAGTGTGAAAAGTATATTTGAAAATTAATCTATCATTTCAGCCTCTGGATTGCTTATATAATCAAATAAATAGTAAAGTCTTACCTTAGCAATCCTTATTATGGTGGTCCGATATTAATTTCAAACCCGTAGGTTCATCATCAGTCGGAAGTTTAGGTAGTTTATGATTAGTTATGATTAGTGTAGTGATTTACCTAAACTTCCGACTGATGATGAACCTACGGGTTTGAAATTAATATCGGACCACCATAATAAGGATTGCTAAGGTAAGACTTTACTATTTATTTGAAAATTAATTGTGTTTATATCTTCTATACTTATACCAGTCAAATACCACTCACTTACTGATCACTATACTTCAAAAACTACTAGTCATAAACATTCAGGAATTAGCAAGGAGGTTCCAATCAACCCCTAGGTGTACCCAAGAAGCGTTTTCAAGAAATTCCATCAGGGCTCTGCCCCAGTGGCTTTTAAAGTTACCATGTTTTACCATAGACAAATTTTTGTCTATGGTTTTACTTACGGTGAAAATATTTGTTTACATTTGAACACATGAATACTTTTGAATCTGCACTATTAATTAATGGAACAGCTGGTTATATTTTATTACATAAAATAAAAATATTTACATTATTTTTGTGGCCTAAAAAAGTGGTTTAATGCATAACAGATTTTTGATGGTTAAATGAATTAAAAATCAAGAAGTGCCCCCCTACTCAGGTTGAACATTTAACTTTTTAATTTAAACTTTGGTGAGCGAAGCCACGACGGGTTTGCTAGTGATCTATAAGAATGATGGGTACATCTTTATTATGTAAGTAATAGTAGGCTATGTTTAGTGAACATTGACTAATTGGATAATAGAACATTCTGTGACTGGCTTACTCACCATTTTTTTTATAAAAAAGAAAGTAGTTGGGCCAGTCACAGAATGATTTAGTGTCTAAAATATCTATCTCAAACCTTATTTTTCGCTAATGAGGTAGGCTAGTTTTCGTGACAGTAAAAGATGCTAAAGCTTAACTTAGCTAAACCTGTTAAACATTCCAAACGTACGTCAAAATCAGTAATTTTCATCAGCACAATCTGTCGGCGGCTGACTTAAACTACGTCCATTTTGATTTTAAAAACTGGCAACAACTCTAGATTGGGGATGGAATGTATAGCTCTACATTATGGCTATGGTAGATGTGCTATACCATAGTATACCGTAAATATTAGTAAACCAAATTTTCTTAAAACGTGCCCTCTCCCATATCAAACGCAAAGCACGAGTATAACTGTAATAAGCATTTTATACTTAAACACCAACCCTGTAAGAAGGACGGGTACTCTGCTAGTAGACAATAAGTACAGGCTTATTGTAAATTTTTCAACACCGGATGCCTATACTGCTATTCGATAGAAGCGGATTTTCATTGGGGTTTACTTGCCAATGATGTTAAGTAAATTGTAACATGTGAAAAAGAGTTTGGAGATACAGGAGGATAGGTGTTGAATAACACGAATCTGTGGTCCGGTAAAAGAAGGGGAACAATATAGAATAAGAAATAATGAGCTGTATGATCTAATCCAAGGATTATTCAAGATCCAGGAATCTTGTAGGATATAGTTAGGGTGATAAAATCAATGAGCCTAAGATGGCTCGGTCCTCGGTCACGTAGTGAGATTGGGATTGAAAGAATGCTTCAAAAATTACTAGATGGTAAAATACATAAAACAAGAAAGAGAGGTTGTCCAAGGGAAAAATGGTTGCAGGATGTTGAAGAGGATTTGAGAATTTTGAGAATTGGAATTGGAGACATAGAGCAAGAAATAGAGAAGATTGAAGACAAATTGTGATGGAGGCCAAGGCTTATCGTGGGCTGTAGCGCCAGAGAGTAAGGTAAGGTAAGGCGATGATTAAATTTGCCTATATTTACAAAAAAAGTCTTGATAACATTTTCAATCTATAAAAGATTAGTTGCTATCAATGGTTGTAGGAGGGACAATCTTTTTAAACTTACATGAGCCCAAAGTAAAATTTAGAAATTAATTTTCCTACAGTCACCCGACAAAGTTGGCTTCCTTGTACTGTTTATAGTACAGAAAGCTGCTAATTGCTGCATATTTATACTTTGCCATACGGTTTATACTTTGCCGTACGGTTTATACTTTGCCGCACATCAGGATTCCAACGAAACAACACAAAACAGCGTGGTTCTATTATGCACGTAATCCCTGTACGCTTGGAAATAGGTTGGCAACACTTAAAGATAATAATACTATGAGCAGCTGATTGACTATTATAACTACGATTTAACCTGTCATTTCGTGTTTATAGTTTCGTTATTTCTGAACTTTCTGGACTTTTCTTTTAAACGTTTTTAAAACATTCCTACGATCTTAATAAACAAGAAAATACCTTTAAAGCATTTTTCTAGGCACGGAAACCACTTCAAATTACAAAAACATACGGAACTATATTCTCAAAATGCGGAGCACATTTCTTGCCGAGGAAAAATAGCGGAGTGATACGGACCGCGGGTACTACTTTCTCTAGGGCACCTATTTGTGATGCCAGCTGAACCTAAAAATGGGTTGTATAGTGTTTGAAAGACTAATTATTTATATGCTTTATAGTGACTGCAGGAAAAATATAATGTGTAACACGAGTGAAAAAGGCCTTTGCTGCACTCGAGATCATTACGCACTCGCCTGCGGCTCGTGCGTAAACATTGCTCTCGTGTGCAGCAAAGTGCCACTTTTACCACTAGTTACACAAATAACTATTTCAATCCTAAGTTAAGTCAACTAGATGGTAAAATGATAAAATGAAACTTTTTAACATCTCAAACTAGCTGCGGCTATTATAGATTTTATAATGATAGTCCTAACCAAGCAAAAAGCTGATCCTGAGCCACAAGGATCTCACTTCTCATCTTTCACTCTATCAGCCGTGAGTTCATAGTTAATCATTGTGAGTTCTGATTTGTTGATTTTGGTTACGAGATGGTTTAAATTAGTAGGCCTGGTTGAGCTTTTTATAAGTCATATTTGTATATTGCACACCAAGATGTCTCCACTTTGTAGTAAATCAATTGAATATAATTTGACACTAAATAAATACTGAGAGCAGTAGTTGCAAACCATCAAAATAATTTCAAAACATTGTAGTTTTCAGTTACTAACGACAAACGTATCAGAATCCACCATTTTCTCTAAAAATATAGAAGTGAATGCATAAGTGTGTTCCAACATAGATTGCATTTGCTATGCCTGGGTATTGCAAATAGCCAAGGATGAATAGAATTCGCAATAGCTCATTAAATCAAGTGGACGTCTGTCAGGAACTGTCAGCTGTAAAATTATGAATACCAGTTATTCAATATTCAGTGCAGCCATTGTAGAGCATAACCATAATGCAAACACACTTGGAAACAGGTCATGATTTTGTAATTGCTAACCATGGGCTGTTTTTGGTACTCTATGCAATGTAGAGATGTATTAGCACACTCATTTTGTGTTGACATTACTTTTCCCTTGATTTATACAAACCATTGTTTTGGTCGGGTTGCTTGTAAAAAATGTGTATTGAATTGAGTTTACATTAAGCGTGCTCGACATCAACTCGAAGGTTGGGATGATTGATAAATCTGGACTTTGTTTGTTGTTTATTCATTAAATATTTAAATAGATATGGTAAGACAGAATATTTGCCAAAGAAATCTTTGGTATATATGAAAATCTATAAAAAATTTAACTAGAAGTTGACTAGGGAGTGATCCCCCCCACGATAACCAATTAGAGATTTTACTACAGTCATTCAATATTGCTTACGGTATCAATTATTTTATATTAACACACGTGAACCGGTGCTATGATGATTTTGAACACGGAAAGTTGTGAGTCCTTACAATTAATTAATAAGTGGTTGGGTTGTGTGTTTCGTTTTTGTATATACAGAAAGATCATTGAACAATGATGAGTTTTTTTCCTTAAATCTGGCAAGACCACATAAAATACATTTCTCAGGACTGTTTTACATTGTGGCCAAAGTCCTGTACCATTTCCCTGTAATCCAGACAGATTCCCCACGTATTGCTATGAGTGACGTAAGCTTTAGCAGCAGAGTATATCCCTCATACGTGACGTACATGCTAAACCACAACATTACACTTCAGAGTCCTTACACCACTGTTGAACTGGAGTGTACTTTATATGGAATCTCTACGTTCTGGCTATGACCACATAAAATACATTTCTCAGGACTGTTTTACATTGTGGCCAAAGTCCTGTACCATTTCCCTGTAATCCAGACAGATACTCCCCACGTATTGCTATGAGTGACGTAAGCTTTAGCAGCAGAGCATATCCCTCATACGTGACGTACATTCTAAACCACAACATTACACTCCAGAGTCTTACACCACTGTTGAACTGGAGTGTACTTTATATGGAATCTCTACGTTCTGGCTATGACCACAATAAAATACATTACTCAGGACTATTTTACATTGTGGCCAAAGTCCTGTACCATTTCCCTGTAATCCAGACAGATACTCCCCACGTATTGCTATGAGTGACGTAAGCTTTAGCAGCAGAGTATATCCCTCATACGTGACGTACATTCTAAACCACACCATTACACTTCAGAGTCCTTACACCACTGTTGAACCGGAGTGTACTTTATGGGGCATCTGTTGGAGGGCATCTGGCATCGAATGTGGAGGGTATATTAAAAAAATAAACTCCAAAATGTGTATAGTTTGTGAAAATCTACATGAGTTACTTGTTATTTTAGACAATTATGAGGCGTATTTTTAAAGTTGCCTATTTGTTATGTTTTAATGCTTCCATAGGATACAATTGGTCTTTCCACATTATTCGATATAGGTATTTAAACTCTTATGTTAAAATCACTCTAAGGTTGGACCTGATGATGACCGGTACGGCTGGTTGGGTTTTATACCTAGGTTTTTATATATTTTATTCATATTTACTGACCACTAAAATTTACATTTTCTGGGTAGCCAAATATATACAGTTCTCGCCTTCAAATTAAAAGTTTTGCTGGTTTTATCATGATCAGGGACAATTTGTGATCCAGAAACCACTTGTCACTTGGCTTTTGATCAATGATGCTGTCTAACAAGCGGTCAAATATAGGATTTTAACAATGCCAAAGTTTGAACCACAAAACCACAAATATGACAATGAAGTAAACACACAAAATATCATAAAACAGTACCAACAGGCACATTTATGATTAAGAAAAATCTCCATACTCACTCATCGGCCGATCCGATAACTTCCCCTAACATCCATTGGCTAGTTACAACAAAGTCAGAACAGGTAGGGGTAGCGACGCCTCCACCCACCCCACGACGCTCTCCCCTCGTCCGTCGCGACGCTCAGTAGATGGCCGGCGCTCGACGTGTCGCGGCGCGGCACCATGTAGTGGCGTCCTAAGTGGCGATCGTTGAGTGAAGTGAGTGCTTGTGTTTGGAACTTCAAAACCACCAAGGCAGCTTCTCAGTGACATTTAGGTGAGCATTTATAAACATTTTCCGTGGAATAATTTAATTAGTGATTGATTAGACTCTCAAAAAAAACTATAAAAGAAGCGTAAAATATCTAAAACTTGAGGGAAATGTCATAAACTAAAACTATTGTTTACATACTGACTTCAGTAAAGTTGCTAAGTTTTCAAATCACCGTTTGGTTAGGTTTGATTGAACGAAAATAATTGGATTTTGATGTAAACAATCACGGTCTAAAATAAGTTTATGACTACAATTCAAAACAATATCATAGCAAATTTGAAAATTTTTACAATTAATATTAGACTTTGCTAAAGAAATATTCTTAAAATACCTAGTTGTGATTGAGATCTCAGAAGGCGTTTTTGATTGTGATCTCAAAAGGTGTTTTACTCACTATGCGATTGTGATTGTGATCTCGAAAGGTGTTTTACTCACTAAGCGATTGTGATTGTGATCTCGAAAGGTGTTTTACTCACTCAGTGATTGTGATTGTGATCTCGAAAGGTGTTTTACTCACTCAGTGATTGTGATTGTGATCTCAAAAGGTGTTTTCCCCACTCAGTGATTGTGATTGTGATCTCGAAAGGGGATTTACTCACTCAGTGATTGGGTTGTGATCTAAAATGTGTTTTCCACACTCAGTGATTGTGATTGTGTTCTCGAAAGGTGTTTTACTCACTCAGTGATTGTGGTTGTGATTTCAAAAGGTGTTTTACTCACTCAGTGATTGTGATTGTGACCTCGAAAGGTGTTTTACTCACTGAGTGATTGTGATTGTGATCTCGAAATGTGCTTTAATCACTCAGTGGATATGATTGTGTAAAAGGTGTTTTATTTACCTTTACATGTGAAGAACTTAGCTGCCAGTGATTGTAATTGAGATCTCGAAAAGTGTTTTTCATTCCCTTGGTGGTCGTGATCGTGATCTCGGAAAGCGTTTTTCATACTTAGTGATCGTGATTATATCAGGAGTCTCAGATATTGAGATTGTTATCCCGCAAGGTTTTTTGAGCTGTTAGTGATTGTGATTGTGATCTCGAGAGGTGTTTTACGCCTTGCAGGAGGCAGCGTACCGAGGGCCTCGTGATAGCTATAAATACATCCACTGCCTGTAGCGCCAACTCTAAACCTCGGCTTCTATTAAAATATTCAACGCTCCGGCCAACTTAAGTACAAAGTTAGCGGGTCGGCCTTCTGCGAACTAACACATATTGATGCGTTTTTTACTTTTTAATTTTTGTAGTAAAAATCCAATTAATTTCAATAGTTTTTAACTGTAAATTTGAGGTCTTTAAATAATTATTATCTTACTTTTGGATTTAAAGTTTATATAGGCCTACAGATAAGATTCGTACCAAACTTAATACATCCAAATTTATCATAGGCTATAGTATTTATAAGTAACTACTAGCTGTTTGGACTGCTCTTCGCTCATAGATATAATATAACTGAACCACACTAGTCTTTTTTTAACTAACTTTTTATGCTTTTTTCGTAGGTTCAAGAAAATATCCAATGTACCATAAAATGTTAATTTATATAATCGGGATGGTCATCGGATGTTAAATTTCAACTTCTAACCCAATAGGTAGGCCTATAGATTTATTAAGGAAATGTCGGAATAAAATATGCAACAGTAAAAGGGACAGGACACGGAAGTTATAATCAATGAACTAAAACATGATCAGAATTATGTAAAAAAGTATTTTGTAAAAGTTTAAGTTTACCATTTAAAATTTACAGAACACTTATTTCAAATCAACATTTGGCTAACTACAACATTTGGCTAGGCACAAATCCTTTTAGTCTCCATCCATTTCAGCAGATCAATTTTTGATTTGTAGCTTCACCGTCACACCCTTAATTACTAGAACAACAGTTCTATAAATTTAGATTGCTTCTATTTGCAACGAAAATCCGTTTGATCCCAGTTATTTCTTTATTCTACGTTAAACACTGAAATAGTTCACAAAAACAAGAAGAAATTTATGTTAATTCTAAAATAATATACACTTATATATATTTATATATTTTACATATTTTTAAGTAACTACAATACTTTTCTTAATTCTTAGTTCATTTTAATAGTTTTAGTAAAACGTTCACTTGCTAAACTATTGTATTTCACTGTAAAAGTTAAACCTAGCTCCAATAAAAAGCGAATTAATTCAATAAAATATGATTTGGGTATAAAATATGTTCACATTTTACAGTACTACGTTTTAAATATATGTTAATTATAAGTTATACATTTTAAGGGACACAGGGGGGAAACAGTGGATTGACATATTTCATGAAACAATAAAATAAATAAATGTAAGTTTTTATTCCAAATTTACTGTTTAAACTAAATAATATAACAGTAGCAATCTTTTACTCCAGTAACATATCTTTATTTACTTAATGATAATTTAACTTTTAAACTTTTGTCATAAGCAATCATGACTAATTTCCTATCACAAAACAATATCTATTACAAGAAGAAATATTCAATATTTCTATATCGTTATTTTAAGTAACCAATTTCACTGTGATTAAAACTTAAGCTCTCCCGTAATAAGCCATTTACCGCTGAAAACAATCAATCCACAAGCAGCATTCAAGCGTTCGTGATGAGCATTTGTTGAATATTAGTTATGAAAAACAACAATTTGAAGCGGTTGAGTTGAAGTAATTAAGTCGCAACCACAATTTTTCTCGGTGGATATAAAAAAAACTATACTATTTGAAAACTCCCAGAAATAAAAAAAGACAAGTTCAGAAATATATATAACAAATTGCTAGTTCAAAATACACAAATTTATTCCAGAATGAGGTATTTATCTGCACTACTATTCCGTGCTAAGAAACATTCTCATTTTTATATGTCTGAGTTTTTTTCACACCATGGGCATTAATTACGTATTTCAGACGTTCAATGCATGGTCTTTTTCTTTATAAGATTGTGTCAGTGCTGTATCTTTTAACTTGAGTTTGTTTGTGTACACTTTTCATTATTTGGTCCGAATCTTGCTACTATTTAAAGTTGAAATTACGTTAGTCATAATCATCAATTGATAGCCCAAAGCTGAATGGCATCTGGTTCTCAAGCCAGCCCCCTTTCAACCTCGATTGCCTAGACAATTAAAAAGGGTAACGTAATTTTCATCACTTTATTCTACCCAATCGTTTAAGATTGTCACTCTTGTATCAATCAGCTGATATTTCCTAAGGGCTTATCGTCTTTTCTGAGCGATATATTGTCACCAGGTGTGCTGTTCACGTTAGCGCTTATCACCAGCTTATCACCATACTTTGTCTTATCAATAACCACTCACTCCTCTTGAGAATGTATGATCATTAACCAAGATGGATGTCGTAAACGTACCCTCTGTATCAACGCTATTTAGGAGTTTATGAATTATAAAAGGTTTGTTTAAACGTTAGTCTGTTTAAAAAGGCAACATTGACAACATTAGTAATTTTCCCCACCCTGATATTCCCAATATTAATGAAATAGTGGTAAAAACGTATAATATAACCAAAGTATGCTAAATATTAATTTCAGCCTCCACGAGGACAGTTCATGAAACCCTCACAAATACGAAATACAGTAATTGTGATTTTAAGTTTGGCAATGAATGGAAATTGTAATAAAATAAAATAAACACGAAGAAAAGTAGTGTTGTTTCCGATATATTTGGTACCCCCTTGCATAAAAAACTCCTTTTACAGGAGAAAGCTTGGAGTACTTGTAAAAATCAGTAAGCTACTGAAAAACTGCAAACTGAACAACAAAACTGAGTTAATTACTGAGATGCATTCTCAGCTAGCTGTATGCCAATTGGTAAGCTACTAGTTATGACTATTGAATGACGGGTCAATAGTAAATGCTGTTAAATAATGCTATTATAATTTTTTTTTATACTGTTAAATAGCGGTTTTAATTGATCAACGTCCGTACTAATGGGAACCATGTAATAGTATATTTCGTAACAGGGCCGCAAAACCATTTTGGTCCGTGGTAAGAACCTTTATTTTTCACCACACTATAACCTATTACCTCAATTCACCACAATAATAATGCACACTGATAGTCAACACAACTACAGCTTTAGGTTATGTGAAGAAATAATTTGAGAAATTATCAAAAATAATAATAAACAGTTGCTAGGCAGCGGTGACAATAAAGCAATTCTACTGCAATGCTATTGGATACTGATTGTGTATTTATGCATTCATGTTTTAAGAAAGTAAGCGGGGAGCTGATTTTGTGACCCTAGGGATGTAAAAACCTGCTCGGTCCCCAAATGACGATGACAGGTGGCATGGCCAGCAAAACGTAACTTTCAGCCACCAATTAACCTAAACAGCTAAACACATCATAGTGTGGTAATGCCAATAGAATATTACAATGACGTATATGTAGCATTTACTCAAAATCATGTTCGGAAGAATATTGGAGTGTTTGAGAAATGTTTGATAGGCATTAGGCAATAACCACAAGGCTTTGAAGCTGCTAAATTGCGTACTAAAATACATCTACCGGGCTTGTAGAGTATTCAGCGCCCTAATACCAATATACGTTCATGGAATTTAGCTTCAGTGGGTCAAATCATCAGACTTAATCGAACTTCGTAATCTTAAATCTCACGACAGTGTATTAAAAGTGTATGTATGTATCAAATGCATGGAATGGGGTGAACAAAAACGTTTCGCATTGGATAGATTTAGAAAATTTATTCCATTCCCATGTTGAAGTCGTAGGAAGTTTTAGAATAAAAAATAACGTAATTCAATTGAGGCTTGGACAGAATGCGCTGTTGCCAAATGTTGTGTTCCATTATACGCGTTTAACGAAGCTAAACTAAAAGATTAACTTATCATAATTTTAGTATTTAATTAATTTATTAAACACTGAGAGACAAAAATGCCATTAGCTCACTCTGTCTATTCAACTGGGATAATTTTTTTATAAATTTGATATATTTAATCCATAAAATAATATATCTACCCTATTATCT